CAGAGGCCTCATTGGCTATATTCTGATTGACAGGCTAGACTCCACCCCTACACTCTTAATCCTTAAATTGACACCAGATTATGTAACTACCACAAATAGTTTACCCATTTGGATTGAAATTCCTAATGCTTTTGAAAGAGTTATTAATCAGAATTATATTTTGAAAGCGTTGGGGTGAGTGTTGTACTTAATACTTAGAGTTTCTTTCAAAGTCTCACGTTACTTTGAACTTGTCAACCAGGCTTTAATGATTTCACTGGCTTCCTTCAACCAAAGGACTGCCACTTGACTGATAAGTTGCGTCATTTGCAAATTCTTTCAACAAGTACTGGACGAGTCTCAAAAAAGTTCTCACTAGTGGTTTCATTTTTCCAGGAGGTTCAAGCAACTCAATTTTTATCCTCTGATCCTTCCTTCCTTTCAGCCCTAGGCCTCTGAAATCTTGTTCCCAGAGCTCTTCCCTGCTCAGCAGCTCTCACTGAGCCTGGGCTTGAGGCTCCAAGAGAAGCCCAATGCCCCACATCCCTGTGCAGGAAAAGGGCCCATAAGGGCCTGCCGCAAATCCTCAGGAGTCACCAAGAGATTGGTCACTGTTAGCTGACAGAGCAAAATGATGCCCGGTCATATACCATCCTCATGACTGTTAAACGTTTGAGCCTATAGCTTCAGCCATGATGGCAACCCATTTTGGTAAGGGTCAGCCCCAAAAGAGGCTGACCCTCTGCTTTACCAACCATGATGCCCTTCGCCAGGGACTGGTACCTCCTAATGACATGTCCAAAGGACATAGGATGAAGTCACCATCTGTGTTAGGGTTGTCTAGAGAAACAAAACCAGAATGCTAATAATTTTATATATACTTATACAGATAGATAAATAAGAAATAAGCAGTTAATTAAATTATAAAGCAGTACAAATGGGAGCCATTTGCAACTCACTCCCGTGAGACAGTTGTGAGACACTGGCAGTCCTTCAAGTTTTGAGGGCTGCCAGGTAGTCCTCTGTAGAGCAATTCAGGCTATCCGGGCACAGACAGCAAACAGCATGGCAGGTCACCAATAGTCAGCTAGATGACAGGGTCCGATAGTCGCCCAGGTCAAGAGATGTATATTCCAGTAGTGTGGCAAAGCAGGTCTTAAAGGAAACACAAATTACAGCCACACAGTCCACGGGTAAGGTGTCCCACAGCTAGTGTAGTTTGCAAATTGAGGCACAGAACAAGCAAGGCAGCCGCACACTGGTCTGATGATCAAAGAGCAAGAGACAAGAAAGACGAGGCTCGCAGAGCCATTTATCTCTCCACCCTTCAATTAATCCCAGGTTGGCACAATAAACTAACTACCTCACCATCCTTGTTTCTAAGAAGCATTCTGGCTACACTTCCAACTCCATATTCTTCACCCATATCCTAATTCATAAACCAATTATTCTTCAGCTTTCATTTTTCATAGCCCAGCTTTATTTGCATGAGTATAAAACAGTTGACTACACTATGGCTTGGGTTATGCACGCCTAAGTTCTCAAAGTGACAGCTTGGTTTTTAACACTTTTTAAAAGTGCAGCAGATTTGTGCAGCAGATTTGCCCAATGCAATTTGTCTTTTGATTTCTTGACTGCCATTCGCATAGGCCTTGCTTGTGGATGCAATTAAAATGAAATCCTTGGCAACTTTGATCTTTTTTATCAGATCATTGGTAAAGTTGTGAGGATGTTTGTTTTCTTGTGCGAGGATGTAATCCTTACTGAATGAAGGCTTTAGTCTGATTTTCACCAATCAGGCTTCAAGCCCTCTTTACTGTCAGCAAGCAAGGTTGTGCCACCTGTAGATCGAGGTTGTTAATGAGTCTTCCTCCAACCCTGGTGTGGCCGGCTCCTTCCTAGAGTTCAAGATTTCTGATTATTTGCTCAGCGTAGAGATTGAATAAGCATAGTGAAAGGATACAACCCTGAGGCACAAGCTTCCTGATTTGAAGCTCACAGAACTAGTTCTGTTCAGATAACTGCCTATTGATCTACATGCAGGTTCTGAATGAAGACACTGAAGTGTTCTGAAATGGCCTTTCTTCTCTCTGTTTTCCCTAGTTGGTCAAATGCCTTTGTAGAGTCAATAAAACACACGCAAATATATTTTGGTTATTCTCAGCTTTCAGCCAAGATCTACCTATCTGACAGCAGCAATGATATCTCACTCATTCCGTGTCCTCTTCTGAATCTGGCTTGAATTTCCGGCAGTTCCTGGTTGGTGTACTGCTGCAGTGATTTTTTAATGGTCTTGAGCAAAATTTGACTTGTCTGTGATATTGTTCACTAAATTCTACAATTGAATGGGCATGAATATGGGTTTCTTCCAGTCAGTCGGCCCGATAGCTGTCTTCCAAATTTCTCGACACAGATGAGTATTTCCAGTGTAGCAACATCTCACTTGGTACTCTGTCAATTCCTAAAGCCTTGGCGGTTCAAATCCACTTGCCGCTGGTAAAATTTCTAAGAGTAGGTATAGATTGGATGGGCATGACTTTGGTTCCTTCGGGTTTTGAAGCCCCTTCTGCCATGGAGGAGCAGAAGCTTGATGCCCCAATGGTTATGCGTTGGGCTGCTAACTACAAGGTCAGCAGTTCGAAACCATTAGTTGGTTTGCGCTAGAAAGACAAAGCTTACTACTCGGGTAAAGTGTTAGTATCTGAAACGCACAGGGGTAGTTTGACCCTGTCGTACAGGCTCGCTATGAATCGTCAGTGAAGTGGTTTGTGTTTGGACACGGGACGCAGGTTAGCACTGAGAAGGGCTGGGAGCAAAGCCACCATCCCCTCAGCTCTAGCTAGCTCGGGACTTGAACGTTCAATAAACCTACCAGAGAGAACCTTCTGAAAGCGGACAGCATCTCCCAGGGAACTTTGGAAGGTGAAGCAGCGTCCGCTTTAGACCTTAAGCCGCAACAAAAACTGGTGCATGCTGGGATGTGTAGTTCCTCTTGGTCGCGGCTGCTTCCTCAAGGTTGAAATGCATTTCGGGATATGTAGTTGTGCGGGCTCCGGAGCTTACGCAGCGTAGCCCCGCCTCCGGGCGAGCACGCGGGAACGTGTGCAGTCACTTCCTGCGAGCCGGGTGGCTTCCTGCGGCGTTTCCGCCCTCGCTCTCTTTTTCGCCGCTTGCCTGCCGCCATCATGGGTCGCATGCATGCTCCCGGGTGAGCGCTGGGCGCCGGGCGGGATGGCGGCGCGGGGCTGGGGAGCGGGGACAGGCGAGCGTGCAGGCGCCGGGCCGAGGGGGTGATAGGCGGGGCTGCTCCGGCCCGCGCCGCCCCCTCACCCCGCAACCGCTTCTCTCCCCAGGAAGGGCCTGTCCCAGTCGGCTCTGCCCTACCGTCGCAGCGTCCCCACCGTAAGCGGCGGGCGGGGGCCGGGGGGAAACCGGGAGGGCAGCCCTGCGGGCCTAGGGAAGCGGGGTGGGTCCCCCACCCCTCGTGCGTCGGGACCTGGGGGCCGAGGCGGGGCCCCTCCCGGGTTCCCGGGCCTCAGGCCTCTTTCTGCTCCACGCACAGTGGCTGAAGTTGACGTCCGACGACGTGAAGGAGCAGATCTATAAACTGGCCAAGAAGGGCCTGACTCCTTCCCAGATCGGTGAGTGGCTTGGGCCAACGGAGCCTCCAGGTGTGCCCACGTGTGGCGTCCGGGAGAGGACCGGCCGTGGGAGAGCCTCTTCAGTGCCCTGCGGGCCTTCGCCCGACCCCGTCTGTACTGCGGAGGACAGTTTTAGAAGTGTCTGGTACAAGGTTTTAGACTTGACCATGGAGTACTTCCGGAAGAGGCACACAGAGCAGGACTCTCCTTGGTAACGCTTGGCTGGCGCGTGTTGCAGCCGCCCACAGTGGGATGGTCTCCTAAATTCACAGCTGTACCAGAAGGGCTTTCCTTGGAAATGGCTAGACCTTCCTTGGGTGTCTGGTTTGTATGAACTTCCATGTTGGTGTCTGTGACGTATGAGAGTAAATCCCGTTGTACCGGTGGGAGACTTGGTGTTTACAGGTGTGGGGAGTTGTAACACAAGATTCCTCCTCAGGTGTGATCCTAAGAGATTCACATGGCGTCGCACAAGTGCGATTTGTGACAGGCAATAAAATCCTGAGGATCCTGAAGTCCAAAGGACTTGCGCCCGATCTGCCTGAGGATCTCTACCATTTGATTAAGAAGGCTGTCGCCGTTCGCAAGCATCTGGAGAGGAACAGAAAGGTGAGTTCGAGGAAGCCTGGTGCTCAGTAGAACTGCTGTTCAATTACTCAGAATAGAATGCTTTGCCTTTTCGAAGGTGGCTTGGAGGACAAACTAATTAGCACTGGGCCGACTTTGAGATTTCCTTTAGCATTGACTCCACACTACATTTCTGGAATATTACCTAGTTGTTTGGAAAAGTGGGGTACTTGCTAAGTTGCTGATCATTCCCCTGGGAACCATTTCCTGATGGCGCCGTGTATTGGGTAGCTTCGTTGGAGAAAGTGCGTGGCGATAATACATTTTGTTTTGTTCTGCTTGGCTTCCTTGAATTTTGCCACTTTCTAAGGATAAGGATGCTAAATTCCGGCTGATTCTGATTGAGAGTCGAATTCACCGATTGGCTCGATACTACAAAACAAAGCGAGTCCTCCCTCCTAATTGGAAATAGTGAGTAGCAACCTTTTTCTGGATCAGTGCTATTTTTATGGTTGGGACAGAGCCTGTGTAGGAGAAAGGGGGTGCTTAATTCTTGATTTAGAATGCAGTTTGGTACATTTTCTGCCAATGGCCATATTATACTACAGTGCTTTCTGCTTGGCCAGGCCATGATCAAAACAGCTTGTACAGTAGATAAACAAATGTGTACAAGTTTGTGTTCTAGGAAACTTTGACTTGTAAAAAAGTCACAGGGCCACTGTTAACAGACCCCTGGTTTAAAGTCTTTTTTGCAGAATATATAAAATTGTGGCTTCTGTCTCTGCATCCCAGAAGTCTACATTATTGCCTTGCTCACTGTGATGACTGACTTCCAACATTCGCAGTTTCCACCAGAAGGGTTTCCCCCTTATGTTGGCTCTATCTTCCTTGGATGTCTGAGTGAGCACCTTCAACCGCTTTGAGGCCTTTAACAGTTGGGGGGATTTATAGTTGCCATTTTTAGTTTGGAAATAAGCTGTTTGAAGACCAGTATTAATCTCCCTTCTCCCATCCTTTCTTTACAGTGAATCATCTACAGCCTCTGCCCTGGTTGCATAAATTTGTGTATGTACTTGAGCAATAAAATCAGTTTAACTACAAGACTTTTCTATGTGTTTTATATGAAATTTCACAGGGAGCAATAAAATGGTCATTTCTGTTGAACAATAGCTCTCCTTCATTGACCCCCCTTATGGATTCATGTGTACTTGCTGTATAGACACAGTAAACATTGAGTAAGGCTAGAAAGTGATGGCTGTGTTTAAGGATTTGGTTCTCAGTAATTTTCTTGTCTTAGTTTCTGTGGGACACTTTAAAAGTCCCATATGATGCACTTCCAAAGGAGATCTTTTTGTTGTTTTTTTAATTTAATTTTATTTATTTTTTATAGCATTTTATTAGGGGCTCATACAACTGTTATCCCAATCCATACACACATCAATTGTGTAAAGCGCATTTGTACATCATTCTCAAAACATTTTCTCTCCATTTAAACCCCCGACATTAGGTCCTCATTTTTCCCCTCCCTCCCCGCTCCCCCCTCCCGCATGAGCCCTTGATAGTTTATAAATGGGTATTTTGTCATATCTTGCCCTGTCCGACGTCTCCCTTCATCCACTTTTCGGTTGTCTGTCCCCCAGGGAGGAGGTCACACACAGTTCCATGTAATCAGTTCCCTCTTTCCTACCCATTCTCCCTTTACCCTCCCTGTTTTGCCACTCACACCACTGGTCCTATAGGGCTCATCCGTCCTGGATTCCCTGTATTTTCAGTTCCTATCTGTACCAGTGTACCTCCTCTGGTCTAGCCAGTCTTACAAGATAGAATTCGAGTCATGGTAGTGGGGCGGGGAGGAAACCTTTAGGAACTAGAGGAAAGTTGTATTTCTCATCATTGTTACATCGCACCCTGACTGGCTCATCTCCTCCCCGAGACCCCTCTGCAAGGGGATAGGAGATCTTTTTAAAGGAATGTCGTTTGGTCCCTTGAGGTTGTCAGTTGCCTTTTGAAAAGGGTAAAATTCTCTGCAGGGTTATCCTTGACATCCAGTTGATTTTGACTTTAACCCGATAGGACGAGGCACTTAACTCTGCTCCTCGGAGTAGCTGCTAGTTTCAAACTGTTGAGTTTGTAATCAGCCCAACTCAAAAGCCATACCATTACCAGGGCTTCTGTAGGAGAGGATTAGGGAGACTGAAACAATAGTCACTTATTTTTGTAGTCATTTTACTGGGGGCTTGTACAACTCTTATCACAATCCATACGTACATCCATTGTGTTAAGCACGTTTGTACATTTGTTAGCGTCCTATTTTGAATGAAGGTTTATGACAGCAATTCTTTTTAGACCCTTTGCCCTGGCAAATGTGTATGGTTTCGTTTCTTGGGACTTCATGGCTTGACACATTCACAAAACATTTTGAGAACTCTGGCACAACATGATGTGGTTGGCCACATGCATCTTAATGGATAAGGCTACATGAAGAAAGGAAAGTCAGCCGCAGTTGAGGCACGGGAAATGGATGGAGGAACAGAAGGTGGCTTACACTTGAGAAAGCTGGAAGCTGTGCTAGCAGCAGGGATGTCAAGAAGCACTTGTGGCACTTAGGAAATTTCGGGTACCTTTGCAGGTGAGGGCCGAGGTAAAGCAGGAAACAAGGATCAGCTCTTAAGTCCAATGGAGTCCTCCAGACGACCTCCATTCTAAGCAATAGGGTGCCACCACATGCTTGAGAGCAACCCTCCGAAAAGATCAAATTAGGATTCTGGACTTGTCAATAAGAGGCACAACGGGTAAGACTTGTTTTGATCCCAAGGAAATGGGGGCAAGTAGACGATAACAAACACTCATTTCCTGTCTTACTGCCTCAACTGTCCCTCTAAACATGTGATTACTTCCACACTGAACTCGAGGATTCTCCCAACAGTGAAGCCTAATTCACACAAATGCCTACCTTTCACAGCATCTGGCCAACTTTTCAGTGTCTGATTCTTAATTAAATGCAGCCCTGATTAACAATATTTAGGAAAAGTGTCTAGTATAAAAAGTGATAGAAGAAATTCCGGGGAGGTAAAGGCTTTAAAATATGTTCAGAGGTGAGAGCTATATCCATGAAGTGAGTTTCCACAAAAACATCGATGGGGAAAGGAAGGTACAGCAGTCGTGCTGGAGCTGGCTTGTCCGGGAATTCCGCAAGGCAGTTGCTGAGCATCAGAATTCTGCAATGTGCAGCTCTTTGAATCTACTGGGTGGTGCGTAAAGGAACTCCAACGCTTGAGATCACTTGTGGCGGAAGTTTCTGCACAATGGAAATACATCAACAGTACAACTCAATGGGTTCTGTTTTTAACTCCCTGTGCACTGCTAAACAGTTACAGCACACAGCTGGCTCTGAAAAAATTAAAATGTAGAAGGAATGAGCAACTGGAAAAGATTAAAAGATGAAGTTGAGGAAATGTGCAAAGCGCAGAGAGGGATAATGTGCCATGAAAGTTGAAACCCAGTGGGTCACCCCATGACGTCTAACGTATAAATACGGAGTTCCAGAAAGAATATAGAAATTTATTAAAGGGACCATTCATGAAAATTTAGAACTGCAAGGCAATTTCTAGATGGAAACAGCTCACTGAGAACCCTGCAGAGTAGTGAAAAAGATAAACCATGGTACATTATTGCAAATTTCAGAACCCCAAGCAGTAGCAAGAAGATCCTAAAAGTTTCAAGTCTAATAGTAAATACCACAAACCAGGTCATGTAGTAATGCAGATCAGAATAGTTTCTGACAACAGCAAGCACTTGGAAAAGCTCTAGAAGCTACAAATTGCAGGAAAAATGATTTCTAACCTAGAACCTATTTGCAGCCTAATTGTAAATCAATAGTTGAAAAAGGCATTTTCTAAGACCACAAACATTTTTCTTTGCTCATTGAGTAAGTGTAGAGTATAAACAATGTGCCAGAAACTAAGTTCTAGGGATGGCGCAGTAAAACCAAGGCCTGGGACGGCCTACCTACGATCAAAAGAAGAAGGAAACAACTTTTTTAATGTGTCAGGTGTGATACAAACTCTGAAAGAGAACAGATGGCGCAGGAGAGAGGCTGGCGCGCTGGGCTGAGGGGAACTCATTAGGATGGTTAGAAGAGAGCCTGTTTAGTGAGGTGTCATTTAAGCAGACATGGATGAAGGCAGGTCCTGGGGACATCTAGGGTGTGTCTTCCAGACAAACTGAGCAGGGTCAAACCATCGAATCGATTGCAACTCGGTGAGCCTATACAACAGGGCAGAACTTCCCCTGTGTGTTTTCAAGACTAACTACTGAATGGAAAGCTCCGTCTGTCTCCCGCAGAGCTGCTTGTGGTTTTGAACTGCTGGTCTTGTGTTGTGCAGCCCAGTAAGGAACCACTACATTGCCAGGGCTCCTCATCGAAAAACCCCGCAAGCTGGAAGCAGCCAGATCCCCGAAGCCGTTTGTATTGGATCCCTTCCGCTTGCCCTTCTTGATCACCGTTCACACGCTCTGCCTCGTGGGAAGCTGAGTGTGGGCCTCACCAACATGCTCCCTAGACCTGTGTCTTTGAGGTTCAGTCCATGTGAGGCACTGGCAAGAAACAGAGCAGGGTCTCCGAGGGTGACGGACCCCAGGAGCACCACAGCTTGTTTCCAGCTGCTCTCAGCCCCATGGCCCTGTGCTCTTCAGGCAGGGCCACTGTCCACACTTTGGGGTTTTCTGCAAACCTCCCAGCACCGTTGTAAAGGGTCCCTTCTGTCAACACTCCAAACTCCTCAATTTCAATCTGCCGCCCGTTTCCTGCCAAGATGCACACCCTTGCAGGGCAATATAAGGATTTTGGTTTAATTTTGAATGAGCCAAGAGGTCTTGGTGATCAACTGGTAATGTGATGTGAAGAAAACCAGGGGAGGATGACTCAGGTGTTTGGTCCAAGGGTGAACAAAGTCATTTACTAGGATGGAGACATCTGGGAAAGAACAGGTCTGGGTCCCAAAAATCCCTGTTCAGTTGGGCTCAGATTGCTAATGACAAGTCAGTTGACTTCACGTTGCCTGATGGCCTTTACTCGGTTTTCTTATGTTGAGTCCCAAATCACGTGTTTACGTTGCTGCCACCCTTACCTTACAGACCCAGTGCCCTGCAGTGGACTACCACTGGCCAGTTATACAAGGAGGGTTTCAAAGAGTTCATGGAAAACTGACATTGGAAAATAGTGGTATTTGTCCACCAACTTTTGAAGCCCCCTCATAGAGCTCACACGTCTGGATTCAACGCCTGTCTCTGCCCTCTGCTCCTGCTTTCCCGGTCTTTCCTCGCAGAAGCAATATTTTTTATACTGTTCCCGGAAGAGCCACCTAGAACCAGGCATAGAGGCAGACACGTGTTCACCTGAGGAGAGGGGAAGTCAGAACTCGACAAAAGGGGGGTTGGCAAACAGATGGAGGCAGGGGAAGACACTAGCAGAGAAGCGGAAGGCAGCAGTGAGAAATAGTGTGTGGCATGCCAGCCCCCACAACCGAATGGGTCCAAGAGGGGCAGTTGTGTAATTGAAGAGTAAATTAAAGAGCCATCAGGCACGGCAAAGCATGCAAGGTCTCACCTCCGCCATGACTTCGAGAGCCAGGTGCGCGCAGGCAGAGAGAGTGTATTCTCGTTGTCATCTTATGTACTCTCAGGGCATGCAAGCCCCTTTGATCACAGGTAACCACATACGCAAGGAAGTGGGCTGCACCTGAAACCTAGAGGTCCCTGAGTTCGATGGACGAGTAACCTAACACCAGTGCTGGGGGCAGGGGAGGGGGATGAGCAGGGACAGCAATCACACATGCCTGCTCCTATAATTAAAGCTAGATAGCAATCAGCCATGTGCTTGTAAAAAGTAACTTTAAATGTGAT